GCCCACAGGATGGATATGGGGTGAATACAGCCTACATGATGGGTATGAGGTGGCTACCGCCCACAGGATGGGTATGGGGTGGCTACCGCCCACAGGACGGGTATGGGTAAACTACCGCCCACAGTATGGGTATGGGGTGGCTACCGCCCACAGGATGGGTATGGGGTGACTACGGCCCACAGGATGGGTATGGGGTGGCTACCGCCCACAGGATGGGTATGGGGTTACTACCGTCCACAGGATGGGTATGGGGTGACTACCGCGCACAGGATGGGTATGGGGTGACTACCGCCCACAGGATGGGTTTGGGGTGACTACTGCCCACAGGATGGGTAAGGGGTGACTACCGCCCACAGGATGGGTAAGGGGTGACTACCGCCCACAGGATGGGTATGGGGTGACTCCCGTCTGTCAGCATAGTTGCTGATCCCTGTGTTATATTGCATAGCATATTAGTATCATCCATGTGCTTTAGATAGGAGATCCCTTGTAGGCCTGTGACTTTGTGTGACTTCACGGGATGCGCATGTGTAGGCTCGTACCTCTGCCTCCCTCTCACTCGGCGGCAGACCATCCAGACAAGAACACGGCAAGGCTGGGCTCCATTCCTCAACACCTCAGTCTGACAATATATCGTTACCATCCAACAAGTGTGTCTACCTTCAACCCTCAATATCTCCATTTAAGAACCCCTATTATAAAATGGTGGCAGCGGTGTGGGAGTAAAATTGATAATTACGCCGATGTACGGAGATTTCTTTCGATCAGCAAGACGGCCATTTCGTGTCCCCAGTAGGCCTACCGAGAAGATTAACGCCAGCCAGCTACCTCAAGTCAGCTACTCGCCCAAGCTCCTACCAGCTTCTACATTATTCACTGGTCAGTCTCTTTGTATTAGTGTTTTTCTGCTTATTTGCATCACTCCCGAGGGGTTGACCCGAGTTTGCAAAATAAGCCAGCCTCCACTCTGTGGTGAGGAAGCCCAGTCGAGCCTAGTCTACTTCATCCAATTCCTTTGCCTGCCAAGCCAGCTTCCACCTCTGTTGTGCTCATCGTGTGAAGTTATCAAGCTATTCTGTGTGAAGGGTTAAGATAAGCCAGCTAGCAACTAACCCAGGTGTCTTACCCCAGTACTCAAGTAAGCCACGTGAGTAGTCTTCATCGCTTGTGATTCAAGCTCCAAGCCATCCTGAGTGCTCTTTTTTTCATCCTTGTGGTGTTGTAGTATTTCGTGGGTTTGTTTTAAGCCAGTCGGCTTAGAATATCTTCGCGGCAGTGTGGCTGTTCTCAGTGAGGCTTACGCCGTTCAACCCATATGCCCAACCACTCACGACCACGTGTGTCTCACCATTGCCGGTCTTAGCCCTGCTAACCCACAAACCCAACTACACTCACCACGCGGCCTCAGACGCCTCACTCAGCCATTACCCACTCACCTAACTTCTTCAGTGTTTTGGTGAAGTACTAAGGGTTGTAGCACCATATTTTAAGGACCACATAGGGGGTCAAGAGCTAGAGTGTGTTTCGTGCCACCGTTAAAAAGCCTCCTGTGTGTGTCATTCTTCGATGTAAGTGCAATTCTACGACCACCTGTGCAGAGGACAGCAGCAAGTCGACATAAACAATCCTCTACTCTCCACTACCATCAACCTCATTCTTCACCAAGTCGTTACAGCGATAATATTTTTTTTTTCCATAGAGACATTTGCGAGTGTTGAGACATTTCTTTTGTGTTTCCAGTGATTTTTTTTTCTTAGTGACATTCAGTGACTCTCGATCAGACTCTGTGTTTATCATGTACTGATTGCATTAATTTTTTTTTTTAATCTTCTTAATTCAGTGTTAATTTGCGTGCATTATCTTATGTCTGTTGTGTTGTGTATCTTTTTATACACTTGAAGTAAGTACTTAGTGTTTTTCCTTTGTTGTGTGTGCAACATATGAGCAGTATAGAACTTGTATTTACACTTCAGAATCACCTTGTGTTCTCAGTATTCCAGTGAAGTATTTCAGTAATTTTTTCACCTCATATTCTGCATCACAACTCAGTGTTGTCTGTTATAATTTTTTTTTCTTTCTTCCCAGCAATTGTGTATTTTTGTTTTGTTCCCTGTGTGTTGAACATTCTTGTGTTCATATTCTTTCATTTAGCCAGTGTCTAATTTGTCTTATTTCCACAGACAATAGTGCCATTATTTTGTGCAAGCAAGAAATCATAAGAACATAAGAACATAAGAATGTAGGAACACTGCAGAAGGCCTACTGGCCCATACGAGGCAGGTCCTTATCAAAACGACATCTACCTAAAGCTACTCAAGAAATAACCGCTCACAGGATGGGTATGGGGTGACTACCGCCCACAGGATGGGTATGGGGTAACTACCGCCCACAGGATGGGTATGGGGTGACTACCGCCCACAGGATGGGTATGGGGTGACTACCGCCCACAGAATGGGTATGGGGTGACTACCGCCCACAGGATGGGTATGGGGTGCATAATAAACATGTTAAACTGAACTAAACTTCGATAAAAAAAACTTTAATTGCTTGTCGCTTACTAATTCTATATTCTTTGCTTTTCCTTGTTAATGTTCATAACGATCAGTAGCTAACCAAGTTAGGAGGTATTTATGACCTTTTTGCATGAATAAATATTCATCATTTGGTAAACTAAATCTTCTTTATATTATTAGTGGATACTTATCATCAACACTCTTCATTCACATACATGACATTGATTTCCATTATAACTTCTCGTGTACTACTTAATTTTCTGTTTTTACTGTAATTGTTAAATGAAATAGCGTTCAAATGAACATTCGATTTCAATCAGCTTTTAGGATAATTTCTTTACCCATTATGAGCCACTTAATCACTGATCTAACACTTGTTTGGTTTATGTTTTCCCTAGGCAATAAACTATGGTTTTACATTTCGGTTTTCCCACAAAAATTTTGCCCCCCCCCCCCAAAAAAAAAAAAAAAAAAAAAAATTCTAGCAATGTTAATAAGTAGAGAAACGCAGACATGCAGGCCAGCAGGCACTGGAGAAGTGCCAGTAAGATAGATGTAAAGTAAACGGACACAAGTGCAACTAATGTGACATTTATTGTGGCAACGTTTCTCTCTCCAGGAGCTTTATCAAGCCATTACAAACAATACATGGACACAGAGAGTATATAAAGGCTCAGAGTGAGGTGAATACTAGTGAGGTACCATTACTTTTGTCACTACCATATACACTATACTATACCACTGTAAACTCAAAATGGTACCTCACTAGTATTCACCTCACTCTGAGCCTTTATATACTCTCTGTGTCCATGTATTGTTTGTAATGGCTTGATAAAGCTCCTGGAGAGCGAAACGTTGCCACAATAAATGTCACATTAGTTGCACTTGTGTCCTTTTACTTTACATATTGTCGGCAATTCTACCAACTTTATTACAGTAAGATAGATGTTTCACACAACACACACTCCTCTCGCTTTTCCTTCAGCCAATAATACTTGCTTCATATATTTTGAAAAACTGACTTCGAATTTCTCGAAAAATGTATAAACAAAATTCACTGTAAATCCTACGTACTTTAATTTCATGGTATAAACCCAAAGATTTTAATAACAAAAAGGCACATTACAGTGACTGGAACAATACACAATGTGAATGTAAATGGTTCAAGTAGGACCGAAACGTCGTCCAAAGACCCTTTTCCCCTATGTGCGGGTTTTTTGTTTTAAAAGATTTTTCATAATTAATGATCATAGCAACCTGATTTCCCCTAAGTTTCAGATTAAAGGTAACATCGCCATTTGCTGGAAGAAACTGAGTGGGAACTATTATTTAACTAAAGGTAAATGTAAGAATCTTGTGTTTGTTATTGATTTTCTTTGTTTTTTTTAAAAAAATTTGTGGTCAAACGACATAAAAGCTTGAGAAATAAATTTTATTACTGACGAAATCTCAGCTTGTCCTTAAAAAACCTTTTGGTTTTTTTTCCCGCATGAGCTCTACGGGGGTATGTTTGAGATGTGTTTCAGAAAATTTCTTGGATAAGCAGAAAAAAAAATGTGGGTTTTTCCTGTTAGCTTTTATTCTTTAATACCCAATTTTTTGCTTTTATTTTTTTTTGACAAAAAGATCCTGATGTGTTTTTTTTCCTGCTTTACCTCGTGTCCTTTTTAGGTTGGTATCACAGAAAATTTCCTTAATTCCGAAAACTTATATAGTTTATTTCCCGTCTGGATTTCCCCGTTTTTATTACGTTTTATTTTCAGAAAGGTTCATTGAACATATTGAACACTGATACAGCTATGTATTTATATGAAGTCTCATGTGTAATTTTGAAAATTTGCTATTGTATTTTTTTTTCATATATTTCATCCAATTTGCCGTTTACTAACAACTCCAAAATTAAAAATGTACTTTCTGACGACTTTATGGCTCAACTGAATCTTTCATTGCTATCTGTGTCCCCTGTATCCCTCTAGCAGCAATTCAGGCATTCGGGTTAAATTCCACTATATTGGCTCCTCTGAGTATTCTGTTTACCGTGATCATGACCTTCCTGGTCCTATTCTCTTTCTTAACCTAATGCAAGCTCCCTTAATGTGTGTGAACTAATTTTAACACGCTTCCATTATCAACAGAGAAATCCTAATGGAGTTTTTTTTGGATAAGATTACTTTTTTGCAAAATTTTTTTAATTATATATACCAAAAGATTACATAAAACTTAAAGTTTGTTAAGCATTTTAATAGATTTTATTAATCAAGTGGTAACATTGCATAACATCTATGAAAATCACTCTGGCTAAACACAGAGAACCATTTCTAACTAGAAGAGTCAACATTTTTTATGCAGTTGCAAATGAGCATCGAGAGCATACACATACAAAATTTTAAATATATGATAGTAAATTTTCTAAGGCATTCGGACAATTGCATACACGATAAGTGCGAGGAGAAGCCCTTAACAAACGTTAAAAAGACTGCAGCTTACCATTATAGCTAGGGTGATGGAAGGGAAGTGTACAGGAGACTCATCTGCTCGTCCCATTTAAAGCTGTCCAGCAAAGGTTCCCAGTGCCACGTTGCAAGGGTTTGTTATGGTCTGTTCGGTAAGACAGTCGTGATCATCGATGAAAACTATGTCAAGTGAAGCCATAAATACTTGCCTAATCGAGGCGACAGAAGTAAATATTTACAGTAAGATTGTAGAGTTTTAACTTAGCCAACGATATCACTGGTTACTCCATGGACTTGTTTTCACTGGGGAATAATTCTACATAGCTAAAAAAAAAAAAAAAAAAAAAACACAAAGGAGAATTAGAGGTTACTATTAATATATAATTCATAATTATTAAAATTTACATTTTCCTGTATAAAGTCGAAATGGCAATAACTCTCGTCACTAAACTGTGCATGACAGCTCTAAGGAAATTTATAGATCAACAGGATTATTATTATTATTATTATTACTATTATTATTATTATTATTATTATTATTATTATTATTATTATTATTATTATTATTATTATTAAAATCAAAGAAAGCGCTAAACCGACAAGGGTCATATAGCGCTGCGGGGCAGAAAATAGTGCTGGGGCTATTAACAGGTAGGTGGAGAGGGGATCAGAGGTGAGGGGAGAACAAGGTTGGAGGGGACGCTAAGGGCTGTGTCAAAGTTCGTGTAGTAAAACAGTTGCTGACAAAAAATAAAAAAGTGATTGTAGGTCAAAGGCAAGGCCGTCTGCAAGAAGGGAAGATAAGGTAAGAGTGGTAGGGCTGTGGCGTTGTTGGAGGTAAATATTGGTAAACCGGGCAGTCTACAGGAAAGTGAAGAACCGAAACAGGGACCCGACAAACCTCACGGAGAGGAATAGGGTGTCGTTCCATGAGGTACCCATGGGTAAAGCAAGTATGGCCGATGCGGAGATGGGAGAACACAGTCTCCCGAGTACGCGAACGGTGGTAAGAAGATGGCCACAAACCTAAAAGCAGTTTAATAGGGTACAATTTGTTATGGTGCATGTATGACCACGGGCAGAGATGACTGTAAAATAATCTCGGAACGGAATACCTCTATAGGAAACCGGATGATCATGCACCGCTGACCGCACAGCAGCATCCGCTTGTTCATTGCCCTCCACATCAACGTGTTCAGGGACCCAACAGAAAACGAGGTGTGTTAGGTAAGACACATATGCAACAGTTAGACAACTTTATTCCGATGGTAAGACACATATGCAACAGTTAGACAACTTTATTCCGAAGGTAAGACACATATGCAACAGTTAGACAACTTTATTCCGAGGTAAGACACATATGCAACAGTTAGACAACTTTATTCCGGAATAAAGTTGTCTAACTGTTGCATATGTGTCTTACCTTCGGAATAAAGTTGTCTAACTGTTGCATATGTGTCTTACCTTCGGAATAAAGTTGTCTAACTGTTGCATATGTGTCTTACCTTCGGAATAAAGTTGTCTAACTGTTGCATATATGTCTTACCTAACAACCTGTCGGTATTGTATACCATTTTGATGTTCAGAAAACGATGTCTGTTTTTACTAGCCACACGGCGCAACCACAGTTGAATACGAAGGACTAATGGATTAGGGGAATCAAATTGTTTAATGGCTTGTAAAGTACTGAGGGAATCTGAAATGATCACAAACGTCGAAGGATACATATATGTATTACGTAGAAGAGCTATGAGGATGGCGTACAACTCGGCAGTAAAAATACTAGCCGAGTCTAACAAATGACCTCAGACAACATCGTCAGGGAACACCGCCGTGAACCCAACACCGTCAGAAGATTTAGAACCATCTGTATAAAAAGCAACGGCATGGTCATGCGACCAGAAGTGATCAAGAAATAGAAAGCGAGAAGCAGTCGTAGGTAGGAGAGCTTTGGCGCACGGCAGTAGGGGAGAACAGACACAAACCGTGGAACCTCCCAAGGGAAAAGGAAAAAGGCAGACGCTCAATGAACATACAAGGGAGGCAACTGGAGAGAAGACTGGAGTGAGTGAAGATGAAGAGGAAACGGTCGAAGTAAGCAGGGGCGTTGAACAAATAATGGACTTCTAGTAACGTTTGAGACCAACCTATATGTAGACGGAACACGAAGGTCATGAGAGCGGACAAAGTAACGCAGGCAATGAGCATCCCGACGATCAGCTAAGGAAGGAACATTCGCCTCAGCATAGAGGCTTTCAACAGGGGATGAACGAAAGGCATCTAACCATAAACGTAGACCCTGATGATGAAGGGGATCTAACTTAGAAAGAGTTGTAGGGGAAGCCGCAGAATAGACTTGGTTGCCATAATTCAGCTTGGACAAAACTAGGGTGGAATGCAAACAGAGGAGAGTCCGGCGATCTGCTCCCCATGAACGATGTGCAAGAATTTTAAGGAGATTTAGCTGCCTTCGAAGAGGAAATGTGAGATTTCCATGTCAACCGGCGATTGAAGAGAAGGCCTGGAAACTTGATCGTATCTCATTCTGGAATATGTGAGCAGTGTAAATACAATGCAATATCTCGGACATGCGGACGTCCATAAGAAGTGGCCCAATGGGACACTCGGCAATAGCATCCTGAAGGAAGGTCGCTACCAGGAGACAGTCAGCGCCTGCATAAGCTATAGCGAAGACATCCACATAAAGTGACGACCAAATATGCAATGGAAGAACGGAAGGTAGGTTATGTATAGACAAGAGAAAAAGGGTAGTGCTACGGACACAACCTTGTGGGACATCCTCGGCCTGAACAAAGTCTGAGGAAAGCGAGGCGCCAGCACGGACATGAAAATAACTGTCAGATAAGCAAGCAGCAAAATAAGTTGATAGATTACCGCAGAGGTCTAAGGAGTGGCCTTGGGCTAAAATGTTATACCTCCAAGTGCTATCACATAAGAGCATAAGAAAGAAGGAACACTGCAGCAGGCCTACTGGCCCATGCGGGGCAGGTCCATGTCAACCCCCGGCTTTGACCAACGGCGCACCCAGTCAGGTCACCTCTACTTAAGGAAGGTGCACGGCTTCTGACCCAGTAGCACCAGCTAGTCAGGTTCAACTCACACCCACCCACACTCACTCATGTATTTATCTAACCTATTTTTAAAACTACATAACGTCTTAGCCTCTATGACGGTACTCAGGAGTTTGTTCCACTCATCCACAACTCTATTACCAAACCAGTACTTTCCTATATCCTTCCTGAATCTGAATTTTTCTATCTTAAAACTATTGCTGCGAGTCCTATCTAGGCTAGATATTTTTAGCAAGCTATTTACATCCCCTTTATTTATGCCTTCTTAAGTTCAAAAAAGACTGCTAGGACGGAGTGTTTGGTAGCAAAGGCATTTCGCACATACGTAACTAAGTGAAGCAAAGGGTCCAAAGTAGAGTAGCCTTTGCAAAAGCCATATTGGAGAGGAAAAAAACTATTGTGAGTCTCCAAATACCATATGAGACGTCTATTCACCAATCGTTCCATCACCTTGCTGACTACACTGGTCAGAGCAATGGGACGATAGTGAGGTATATCAAGCCCCGAGGTGCCTGGCTTGCGAAACATTAGTACAATGGCAGATTTTCATTGTTGAGGGAGAACTCCTCACGTCCAAGTAAGATTGTAAAGACGCAAAAGGACTGTAAGGGCTGTAGAATGCAGATGCTGTTGGTTTAGAAAGACACGTAAGCAAACACTATAACATATTTATTAGAAAACGTTTCGGTCCTGGGACCTTGATCACTTCTAACATCCAGAGGTAGAAAGACATTATATATATAGGCGGAGAGTGAGATGTGACGCACGTGACCTGAGGAATGTCATAAGAACATAAGAATGGAGGAACACTGTAGAAGGCCTACTGGCTCATGTGAGGCAGGTCTTTATCAAAACAACCTCTACCTATGATGAGGACGGGTAGACGATGAAATCATGTGACTCCTGTGTTGTTGGGTTGGTGCTGCTTAAGTATCATGTATGCCAATGTTTTTGAAATTTTGTAGTTTCCAGTGTTGCGTTCTATAGTGTCGGTGACGGCGATTAGTGAGGCTTCTAGGCACCGTCGGCGTCTGAGGTCTGGTTCGGTGAGAACGAGTTGTGCCTCATTCCAGTTCATCAAATGCTGTAGCATACTGATACAAATATCATCAGGCCCAGCTGCCGATGACTGACAAGCGAAAAGCGTGGACTTTAGCTCTAGGAGAGTGAAAAGTACGTTAAATGGCTCCTTTCCATTAGAAGAAAAATCCAAGGGCAATTGCTCCTTGGTAGACTTTGATGCAAGAAATGAGTGACAGAGGTGAAGCCCTTGGGAGACTTGGACAAGATGGTTCCCGATTTCCTTCGCAACTTCAAGAGGTTCCACAACACTAACACCAGCAACCCGCAAAACAGGAGGTGGGTCCAGAGTGTATTTGCCACACAACTTCCATACATTCTTCCAAACCGCACACATAGGGAAAGTCGAGGTAATGGTAGACATGTAGTCTTGCCAACATCTGCGTTTAGCGTTGCGTATGACGTGGCAAGCACATGCTATTGCCTGGTTAAAATCCAAAAGACGATCTGAGGTCCTATTATATCGATAACGGCCCCAGGCAGTAAGTTTCAAATGCACTGCACGGCACACACAGGAGATCCCCAAGGCATGCACGTCTGAGAATGCCTGCCTGAGGTTTTAGGAATAGAACGTGATGCTGCAGTCAAAACTAAGATCGAACACCGGTGCACCAACTCATCAATAGAGGACGAAGGAGGGTACCCAGTGGGGGCTACGAGGCAGTGGGGAATACGTAGTAGAAGTAAGAAGAATAAGAAAGTGATCACTGTCGTGTAAGTCCTTGAGAACAGACCAAGCATAATCAAGTGCAATTGACAAGAAGCAGATAAAAAGATCAATGCAAGGAGAGATTGAGTGTGAGAGTCAAAAGGGGTGGGAGAACCCGTATTTAAAAAATGAAGAGGATGAGAAGTGAGAAGAGTCTCCAACTGATCACGAAAGTCACAGTGGGACCTACCCCAAAGATGATGGTGAGCATTAAAATCACCTTACAACAAGATGGGCAGCAGCAGAGAAGAGATCAAGAATGCAATATCCGAGTTACAGAATGCACGGGAAGGGGA